TTGCACCAACAGCAACATGAATTAAACAGCCTGAAACAGAGAATTTCAGATAGCCAATACAGTTTGGGGCACCTGTGAATGTTGCTGAATCCAGCTGAAATTTTGCACAAACGTTCAGTCCGATGTGGACCACCCTAATATATGTGCATTACAGTATGACACTGAATACATTATTTAATGTTTTTTTTTCCCAATTATTTGAGAAGGTGGTCCTCAGAAATTTTACAATCAAAAATGGGCCTCAAGTTAGACAGATAAAGTTCAAATTGAGTTTGACCACAGTTAAGAAAGGTGTGTGTGTGTGGTGGTGGTGGTGGTGGTGGGGGATTATTTGATAAAAAGAGCGCCTTGACGGTTGTTAAGCTGGGAATATTCGACTTTAGCAGCCTCACAAAAACTAAAGTGTGCGTGTGTGTTGGGGAGCTACAGTAAACTGTGACAGCAGAATAATGGTGAAAAGTGACTGATGTGAATGTCTGCATGGATATGGTTGGACTAGTCTGTTTATTAGCCAGCTGGTGGCCAAACAATTCATGAATAAATCAGCTGTTCTTGACTTAAGTAGCTCATACTAATCAGCTAATAAGAATTCAGTGCTCTACCTTAAGTAAAGCGTAAATTCATATGTATGAACAATCCAAAATAAATATTGGGTGTTAATTAGCTCAAGAAAAGTATAAGATGTAACTGTTTTTATAATGCATAATGTAAGGTTGTGGCATTTTATGGAAGTTGTTGACAAAATTAAGAACTGAAAATATTTTAATAGCACACTCTAGATCTTATGGAAAAAAATATAGAAGTAGTGTACTGTATTACCACAAAAATTGTTAAGCAGACTGGAATCCACAGCAAGCAAGGAGGGATCATTAGTGAAATGAGCCACCTGGACCTGCTGGTGAATGCAGTAGACCTAAATAATAAAATAAGCAGCTGCTGATCTGTGCTGCTGTTTTGAAGGTAGTAGTGTCACGTCTGAGCAGGAAGGTCCCAATGTGCAAAACACCAGACAGACAGGTCAAAAGTCTTTCACTAGGTTATTTTAAAACAGGAAAATAACGGAAGGAAAACAAACAAGACCATCAGAGCCTCAGGCTGGCGACACAGTCTTTAACAAAGGGAGAACAAAAAGTGACCCTTAAAGGCGTAGGCCGGGAGAGGCATCCAGGAAATTTATAGGGCTGGTGGAGAGGAACGGGAGCTGGCAGGTGTAGAATAGTAGGGCAAAGAGATGAAGACAGACGGAGTGATACAGGCGGAAATGGAGGGTCCGAGGAACAGGGGAGGTAAACAGAGTCCATGGAGCTAGGTGCAACGCTGAGAGTTTGGGGTAGCGCTGGCAACATGAAGTTCAGGGAACAGGGGGAGAAAAAAACAGAACCAGGTGTCATGCAGAGTGTCCATGGTATGTTGGCTACTGAACCAGCAACTAACTGAAGGGAAAGGAGGAGTATACTGTATATGGGCTGGACACTGGAGATAACAAGACACAGGTGAATACAATGAATGCTGATTAGACCAGCCGTAAAGCTGGGGCAGGTGAAATAGCAGAAACAGGAAGTACACAACCAAAATAAAAGCATGACAGCAAGAAGCAGGTCCAAACCATAACAAGCAGCACCTTGTTAAAATGCACTTCTTCAAAGCTTCTTTTGAAGTAATACCTGACAGAAAACAAAATGTGAATTTGGCTTCACAGGTCTGAAAAAATAGTTTGGGAAAATGTAAATAGGACTGTAGAAGGAGGGAAATCACGTCAAATCAAGGGGTTCTGTTAATTCACTCAACCCAGTGTGCATTTTAGTTGAGCTGCTGTCCATAGCTCTGTCATTTTAGTATTTCCTTGAAGTTTATCTGGCACCTACTGTTTTGTACTTTTCACTCATCAAAAATGAAGACAGTGCTCTGTGAATGGTATGAAAATGTCAATTTAAATCCAGAGTGTTGTGTCATCTCCTTCACCAGAACAAGAATCTTTTCATTATACTGTAGATGACACTGGTTGTCTAACATTTCATCACTGTTCATGTCATTCCCTGTGCCACAGTAAATAATTAAGCAGAGGCTTTGTAATGCATGCAGGATAAAACCTTAAAACTTATTTGGTGAAAACAGAGAATTGATTATGCTGTAAAGAATTTATTTAATGTGGCTTCATTAAGATGCAATGATGGCACAATACTTGGAGGAATAATACTAAGATTATTCATTTTTGACAGTCTGCTATTTTTGTCTTATAGACTGCATGTTTTTTTCCTATGGCTGAATGGATGGAAATGGCAAGGTTTATCAGCAGTTGGTTCACCATTTTTGCTCATACTGGTTTAACTCTGTAGCTTTGGTTACAAATGGGATTTTCCACAAACATTTATGGGATAAATATTTGTGCAAACCTTAGTGGAATAACTCAACACCTGCTGGATAGATTGTGATGATATTTGGTACCCATGGTGCCCAGACACTGATTCACTTAACTTTAGTGACCCTGCCCCTCAAACCTTTTGCTAGAATCACCAGGTTGCTGATACAGTATTTGGTTTTGAGTGATCTTGGCAACTACTCTATGAATTGTCACAGAATTGAGGGGGACCTGGCTGCAGACAAGATGGTAGAATGCAACAGAGATTTGTGGATGGACAACCTCAACTAGAAGGTGTCAACTTCCTCTGTAAGTTGGGTTAGGGTAAACCCTAATCTTTATCATGCTGTAACTATAACTATAATCATAACCCCTACCCCTATCTCAAAACTTAAACTTGCTGAGGTGAACAACATCTGGCTATTATTGTCAAGTTCCTGCCAAGGTTGGCAGTCCACTGTCTTCTCTGGAATTAGGTTCTCTTGGCAGAATTTGGGAAAGGATTCACATTCCCAGCAGGATGGCTTGTATAAATTTGGTTAGCTTAGCCTACTCAGCATTTAGTTTATTCTTATTTGAATAACTGGCAACAACTATTAGATCACAGATTGTTTCTCATTTTTCATGCACTTTGTTTCACCAGTGTTAAAAGCATGTACGCTTCTGTTTTCAGCCTTCTGCTGTTACTTAGGCTGATAATGAGAATTCTACATGAAACATCTTGCATTTGCACATTAATCTCAGTTCTCACACAGGCTGCACTAATAGGAACAGATGCTTTGCATTGTGTGGCACAAATGTTACTGGGTCTGTTTACCTGTCTTATCTGGGATGTGGCAGCATTCCACTGTTCAGGCAGTCCCTAAATGAAAGATGTGTAAATGTTAATGTTAGTTATTTAAAAACCCTTATTCCTTGCACAGTGCCCTCCAGGGTTGAGTCCTATGAAGGATGGGACCGGGTGCTACGACCATCACATTGGCATTGACTGCTCCGATGGTTTCAATGGAGGATGTGAGCAGCTGTGTCTCCAGCAGCTGGCCCCTCTAGAGGATGACCCAACACTCTACAACATCCAGATGTTCTGTGGGTAAGGAAGAACGCATTCACTGGCTTATGTTTTTAATGACTGTAATTATTTTATTTCATAACCCTGCCTTACTAAGTCCTTTTTGTTATTCACATAGCATCCGGTTGTGTGAATGTTTGCACACTACAAAATTGAGCAGTATTAGTCTTAATATTGTGGCTACTAATTAATTTTCATTTTGCAAATGCAACAAGTAAGCTACAAAACAAGTTACAAGTCATATGAAGAAATACAGTATACATTTATTTTTGTTTGAGAAACACTCTGGAACTACAGCAGCATACATTAAAATGGGAACAGTTTTGGCAGTATGTTACACCTCAAACTAGGGGTAACAGGCACAACATGAATAAAGAGACTCCCCTCTTCCCAGTGCCCAGAAATGACCAGCAAACAGGTTTAAGCCCTCTAAATTAATATTGTATTTGCAAACTCAGAACGTTAAGGTTCTGTAAGTGTTTGTAGAGTAAATACAATAGAGTTGCACTGGTGTTTGCAGCTACATATGTTGTACATATGCAAGAGCAGTAGGCTTTTGAAAGGCGAGTAGATTTCAGCAGCTGTAAATCATTCATCCAAGATTTCAGATGTTAAATTGTTTTTGTTTTTCATAAATATATCAAAGTAACATGCTAGAAATACCAGCATCTCGTTCCTAAATGAGCTGCACAATTTGATAAAAGAAAAGGTCAGTCATTATCTATATTACCAGTATTGTAAACACTCCCCATACATAGACTACAAAACACACCACTGTACTGGCTGATGTTTCCTCATTACAAAACACAAGTCCCTAATGTTTATTAAAAATGTTGCCCCAAAGGCTTTGAGCAGCCATAACTTTTTACAATGTGTAAAGTAAGCAAGAGTCAAGAGCCCATGCACAAAATCTCTTGATTTTCTTAATAAATATCAGGGGCTGGTGTTTTGTAATGAGGACATTTGTCATCCACTGCAGCAGTGTGTTTCACTGATGTGTTTGTAATCATTTTTGAATAACAGTGGAGGTCTATGGCAAAGATGAACAAGCTAATCAGTTCTGACAGACTGACAGACATTAACGATCAGCAGAGGCAAATCATTCTTGGTTTCACACTCTGTGTA